ACACTCAGTAAAAATCAATAGTTTCGCGGGCCAGCCGAGTGGCTCAGTTGGTTAAGAGTTGGCTTAAGAGCGTGAGCTCTGAGCAACAGGGCTGCATCCAAAGCTTGCAAGGCGATTTTTACTAAGATTAACCTACATATGGGTGATCAAAGTTTATTAGTTAGCAAAGTTCTCCTGCCACTATACTCTCTCCTGGGCGAGCTGAAGGGGGATTGGGGCGGTCAGAAGAGCCCACTTTGCCATTTCAAATTCCCACTCCAGAATGATTACTTACAGTTTCAAACAGCTCTTCCATCAGCCCATTCACTTCCTTTTCTGCAAAAAAGCCAAACGATATGTTGTTGGCACAGTTCGTTTCATTTGCAATAAGGGGGAATTCCAAGAAGACAATGTGTGTTGTTTTCAGCAAGCCATCCTCATATCTAGCTATCATTCAGTCACTCAAATACATTTACTGAACACCAGCGCTGGCTCAATCCTTGCTCTAGAAGCTTGGGGCATATGACAGAACTGAACAGTCCTGATCTCATGAAGCTTCAAGTCTAGTGGGAAGACATACATAAAATGTAGCTCGATGACTTTACAGTAAGATCAATTCAGTTTGTTGACCTATCCTCGGAATGGAGTCAGGGGAGAAGTCTCTAGCAATGTGTCACAGGACCCTGTCTTTGTACCTGAACTAGTCAGCAACTCTATCAATGACCTAGGAGACCCATGAAACACACTCATCAAATCTGTAAATGATACAAAGCTGGAAGGGACTACCAGACCAACTGATGACAGATTCAGAATTCTGTTTTCTCAAATTAATGGGATGGATCATAAACAGGATAAATTTAAAGTCTTGCATTTAGGATTTTAAAAAATCAGTTTCTTAGGGCCGGCTGAGTGGCTCAGTTGGTTAAGAGCTCACTAAAGAGTGCGAGCTCTGAGGAACAGCAGTTCGAGTCCTGCATTAACCTGGGACTCGTTCTCAGCGCCGAAACACGATCTTCTCAGAGCACAACTTTTGTTTTCTAACTTACCTATGACTCCCATCCCAGGTCTAGTTTCTCCCATTCTCCCACTCCCATCCATTCAGGCTGCCCTGCCTTCCTTTCTTAAAAAGTCAAAGAGCTTCTAGCATGAAGCAAGAAGGGGATATACTAAAATACATGGCAGTTTAAATGAATAATGAGAAGCTGGTTCAAGTATTGCCCAACTCCCTCCATGAAAATCCCTCTGAATTGCTCCTCCAAGTTTTCTCACCCGAGCCCCGAACCTGCGTCCAGGCAGGGCTGAAGCATGAATCCTAAAAACCTAGCGTGCTGGCGCTGAGGTGAGGAGGCACTTGGATGATGAAGCACGAGCTGATACGCTGCGCCATCAGGGTAAGACCTGCTCAAGTAGCTGTGGCTAGCAGGTTATCATGCTTTAAGAAATCCTCTAGGGCCGGCTGAGTGGCTCAATTGGTTAAGAGCACGAGCTCTGAGCAACACAGTGGCCAGTTCAATTCCCACACGGGCCAATGAGCTGCGCTTGAGTTGAGCTGTCGCTGTTGGCAGGATGGCTCAGCTGGTGAGAGCATGTGCTCCTAACAACAAGGTTGCCAGTTCAACTCCCGCATGGGATGGTGGGCTACGCCCACCCTCAGCTAAGATTGGGCACGGCACCTTGAGCTAAGTGGCCACAAGCTGCCAACGGGCAGCCGGATGGCAACTGGACTTGGAGCTGAGCTAGCTGTGCCTTCCACAACTAAGACTGAAAGACAACATGGCTGTTCCCCTCCCCCAATTCCCCAACACTGTTCCCTTCCCCAATTCCGCAATAAAATCTTTAAAAAAAAAAAAAGAAAGAAAGAAATCCTCTGTATTGTAGCAATAGTTAAATGATAAAGACTTTTCCAACAGCCTCTGGGAATAAAGATTATGTTTCCTTTTACAGTATTTTCTGCGAGTGTGGACAGGCACAGGGTAAAAATCTAAGGGCACGGGACTGTCCTCTGCATAACACCCTTAACTGAGAACTGAAAACCCCTGATTATCTATCTGCACTGCTAACAGGGGAACAGAAGAACAGAAGCCTGAAAAAAGTGGGCAATGCAAAAACAGGCCACACCTCATTCTAGTAAGTATTTCTTGGAGTGTTGGTAAGGGGAGAACAGGTAACTCACCTTCCCCATACTTTATTTACTCAAAGGTTAAACCAGGTTTGCATTTCCTGCTGAAACAGCAGCAGCAGCAGTCCAAGCAGATCAACTGAATGCCAGAAGTAACTGAATTTGAACAAGGGTTTTAAAGTAGTCAAAAAATCCCCGAATTTTAAAAATTCATATAGTTTTTAAACTCTATATGATTGGGATTTGAAATAGGTTCATAGATCAATTCCAGGGGGAATGGTTCCTTTTGCTATGCCAGAATTTTGTTCTGTGCACTCAGGCTTGTAGTAAATGGGTCAAATATACTTAGAAACCTTAAAAATGTTCTTAAAACAAACAAACAAAAAAATAAATATGTGAGGTGATAGAAGTGTTAACTCAGCGGGGGAATCCTTTCACAGCGTATACACAATCAAATACCATGCTGTACACTTTAAATATCTTACAACTTTGTCAATTACACCTCAATAAACCTGAAAACAAAGTGAAATCCTGGGATTTTTTGTCACAGTTAAATGATGGTATTTATTGAGATGGAGCATGACTAATACTTCTGGCTTTAACACAGTTTAGAACGCCTTGTCTTTCTCACTTTAGTACGCCTTGTCTAGCTTTCTGATGGATCCCAAGCTCTCTGGTTAGGTAACGCTGTTCAGTTAAAACGCACGACTAATTAGAGGCTGTGGATCTCTCAGCATAACTTTGTTCCATCCGTGGCATAAACCACACCCCGACCTCTGCTGCTACTTAGAATGGATAACAACGAAGTACAGATGGATTATGCAAACGCATCACAGAAACGGAGGGGGGGGGGTGAAAGCCTCTACTTTCTGGGTGGGGAAACAGAAGTGCCAGCATTAGGTGAAGGGGGCAGTACATATATTTCAGATTCCAGGGCATTTCTGCAGGTGATTCATGGTTCGCTTAACTNGAGCAAAACAGCAATTTGTCTACCTGTCTGTTCCTCTTCCCCGATTCCCCAACGCTGTTCCCCTCCCCCCAATTCCCCAATAAAATCTTTAAAAAAAACAAAAAATTTTTTTCCTTTAAAAAATTTCCTCTAATAGTATATATGACGAGATTGGTTTTTACAATAAATAAAAGACAAAAAAAAATTTTTTTTAATGTTTCGAAATGTGCATGTTATTTCCTCAAAAGAAGTGTCTGGCACTGCTGAAACAAGCATCTACCAGAACAAGAACCTTCTACCCACGTCTGCCACTTCTCTCTTTATCGTGTCTTACTGCACATGCCTTAGTCCCCTGAGCTCCTCAAGAACAGAACTAGGTCTTGTTCTCAGGACACTGTGCCTCCCCCATGGGAAACCCTTACTTGTCCTCAGCCTTGGTGAATGAGTTCTTATCCTGGGGGTTCTTTGCCTTCAGAGAACACACTGGGAGTAGCTCGGGATACATGAAAACCTTGCTTGTGGCCAGGATCCAAGCTACTTGCTTTGGCAAACAGGGAAATTTACAGGCTGTAAGGAAAAAAAGAATCTGTGATAAGTGAAATTCTGAAACTGAGGGCTTCCCAAAAGCTCCTGAGTGCCTTTTCGCATTAGGTAGAGCTGCCCCTCCCTAACTGGATGTCCGTCCTCCCACAAATGTTTCTACCGCCTTCTCAGCCTAACATTCGCCTAAAGGGGATCCCACTCAGTGATACTAAAAGTTGATTCTCTCATTTCTTCCCAGACTATGTTACTTAACATGCTAAGTAACAAATGCCTACAAAGTACCTAGTAGCACCTGGCACACAGTGTACGCTCCAAATATTTTTACCTCCTTCCCCCTTTAAATTCTTGAAAGATAACTGACATTCCGCTATGCATGCTTTCTTCTAGGATAAGATTCCAACTTCTTTAATCTCCCTCACAAATCTTATATTCCAAATTTTATTTGATTTGTCTCTTACTTAACTTTCATTAACTTCTCTCAGATTCCTCCTGAGGCTGGGAACAGAAAAACCATAAACGAAATGAGACAATTCAGTCTCATTCACTTCTGGCTTGCTGTCTAAGCCTCTCAGTTCCAGACACGTCTGCCTTTCCAGTGGTAAGCACTTCTCCTTCCAAAATGCTCTTTTCATATGCCCGGAAGGAAAACACAGGACACCGTGCGTCTCAGTTAGCAGCAGTTTGGTGTTTTCAGTTCCAACATGCAGCTAATAAAGCAGTTTGAGACCAGTGTCTATGACCTAATGCACTTAAATCCAACTATGCTCAATTTAACTAGAAGAGTCAGGGATTTCATATCAAATCTAAAGACAAACCCAAGTCCAGAGAAAACCACAACCAATGTGCTACACCAGGAAACAAATCAGATGCAAATATCTGGATTCAGGAAGCAGCAAATAGTTTCTAAAAAAAAACTAAACCCACCCAAGGTAGAAACCAAACCTGTAAATTTCTTTAAAATACTGAACATGGTGAATGGACAACATCTCTGATTTGTGCCTTGTCCCAAGTCAACATTCATTCAAAATGGAGACAGCACTGTAATCGTCATGGGAAATAAAATGATCCCGAGAAAGGAGAGCACAGACCTCCCACAACCCGACCTTCCCACTTGGCTCCCACCTCTCCCAGACCCCAGCGTCTTGCTCTCGTTCCTACCCTCATACCTACTTCAGTCCGGTTCTCAGCACTGAGCCCTACATCTCTGCCCCTCATGACCCTGCCTGTCCACTGCCTCCATCCCCTACTCAATTACCATGCAATTCTAGAACTTAGTGAGTACAAAGGGAGGATGAAAAAGAGAAGGAAGAAATTATAAACATCCTGTCGCTCCATCCCCAGGAAACTATCTATGGGATAAGACTTCCAACTCATTCCAAGTATAAGCTTGAAGTGGACACATCTGTCCCCTACCAGTCTTGACACTTTTACGAGGACTCCAGTCAATGCTGACGTGTGTGTTGAAGTCTTCAATGAGCTGCACGGCCCCCAGCAGGTTACAGGGTTGGAACAAGGTCTGAAACTTGGGGTTGAACTGCTGGTGAAGGGCGATGGAGCTTTGAGCAAAGGTTCCCAGTTCTTCCTGGGAAAACCGGACACAAAGGAGGTCTAAGTTCCAGGCCATTAGCACTGCCAGCCCTTCACCTCTGAGTGAAAACTGTCCTTCCTACTGTAGGTTACATAGGTAAAAGTCATCCTGAAGTCTTTCACAATTAGCATCAACCTACTGAGCCTCTGCTGAGGCTCAGGTAGTCGGAAACTGGGTTTGTGACATGCCTGTTTTGTTCTCAGATTGAGTGTTCCTGAGCCTTCTGGGTGTTAAGTCTAGCTCCCAGCTACAATTAAGGTTCTCAAGAGCAAGAGCCCTTGCTTTTTAAAATTATTTTGTCTTTTGGTTTCTCAAATAACACTTAGAACAAAGTACTTCTCGCAGCCCTCTGAACACAGTAAGAGGTGAGTATCCCTGCTGACTACTAAGGCAGCTTGGAGTGCCAGCCAACATGCTACTCAGACTCCAGGGAGGCTTATCCAAGAAGCAAAGCACATCATCGTTACCTGCTCCGACATTCAGGGTCAATTTTTTTTTTTTTTTAGCTGAGCCATCCTGCTACCTGTTGGCAGCTCAGTGGCTGCTCAGCTCGGGCTGGACTCGAATCGCTGTTGCTCAGAGCTCAAACTCTTGAGCGAGCTCTTA